AACACCTTCTGCTCTTCACCCAGAGTGGAGTCTTATTCTAACAGAGATGTATTGAAACACCTTCTGCTCTTCACCCAGAGGGGAGTCTTATTCTAACAGAGATGTATTGAAACACCTTCTGCTCTCCACTGAACACATTTCCTCTTTATTTTTCTCCTTCATTTCTTTTTTTTCTCCTCCAGGATGAGAAGAACCAGGTTCTGATGACCAACGCCTGGCTAGAGCTGGTAAGACTGAACTTCTACCTTTTACTGTGTGTATGTGTGTGTGTGTAAGAGAGAGAGAGAGAGAGAGAGCGAGACAGAGAGATTCTAGTTCTGTGTGTCTGACCCTCATTTGTAGTAGAATAGCCATTTTGTTTGTTTCATTTGCTTGTTTTGTCACAGAGTTGAAGCTGTTATTTTTATCTTGGACATCATGTTATTTCCCTTCCCAACATACAGTGGGGGAAAAAAGTATTTAATCAGCCACCAATTGTGCAAGTTCTCCCACTTAAAAAGATGAGAGAGGCCTGTAATTTTCATCATAGGTACACATCAACTATGACAGACAAATTGAGGAAAAAAAATCCAGAAAATCACATTGTAGGATTTTTAATGAATTTATTTGCAAATTATGGTGGAAAATAAGTATTTGGTCACCTACAAACAAGCAAGATTTCTGGCTCTCACAGACCTGTAACTTCTTCTTTAAGAGGCTCCTCTGTCCTCCACTCGTTACCTGTATTAATGGCACCTGTTTGAACTTCTTATCAGTATAAAAGACACCTGTCCACAACCTCAAACAGTCACACTCCAAACTCCACTATGGCCAAGACCAAAGAGCTGTCAAAGGACACCAGAAACAAAATTGTAGACCTGCACCAGGCTGGGAAGACTGAATCTGCAATAGGTAAGCAGCTTGGTTTGAAGAAATCAACTGTGGGAGCAATTATTAGGAAATGGAAGACATACAAGACCACTGATAATCTCCCTCGATCTGGGGCTCCACGCAAGATCTCACCCCGTGGGGTCAAAATGATCACAAGAACGGTGAGCAAAAATCCCAGAACCACACGGGGGGACCTAGTGAATGACCTGCAGAGAGCTGGGACCAAAGTAACAAAGCCTACCATCAGTAACACACTACGCCGCCAGGGACTCAAATCCTACAGTGCCAGATGTGTCCCCATGCTTAAGCCAGTACATGTCCAGGCCCGTCTGAAGTTTGCTAAAGTGCATTTGGATGATCCAGAAGAGGATTGGGAGAATGTCATATGGTCAGATGAAACCAAAATAGAACTTTTTGGTAAAAACCCAACTCGTCGTGATTGGAGGACAAAGAATGCTGAGTTGCATCCAAAGAATACCATACCTACTGTGAAGCATGGGGGTGGAAACATCATGCTTTGGGGCTGTTTTTCTGCAAAGGGACCAGGACGACTGATCCGTGTAAAGGAAAGAATGAATGGGGCCATGTATCGTGAGATTTTGAGTGAAAACCTCCTTCCATCAGCAAGGGCATTGAAGATGAAACGTGGCTGGGTCTTTCAGCATGACAATGATCCCAAACACACCGCCCGGGCAACGAAGGAGTGGCTTCGTAAGAAGCATTTCAAGGTCCTGGAGTGGCCTAGCCAGTCTCCAGATCTCAACCCCATAGAAAATCTTTGGAGGGAGTTGAAAGTCCGTGTTGCCCAGCGACAGCCCCAAAACATCACTGCTCTAGAGGAGATCTGCATGGAGGAATGGGCCAAAATACCAGCAACAGTGTATGAAAACCTTGTAAAGACTTACAGAAAACGTTTGACCTGTGTCATTGCCAACAAAGGGTATATAACAAAGTATTGAGCAACTTTTGTTATTGACCAAATACTTATTTTCCACCATCATTTGCAAATAAATTCATAAAAAATCCTACAATGTGATTTTCAGGATTTTTTTTCCTCATTTTGTCTGTCATAGTTGACGTGTACCTATGATGAAAATTACAGGCCTCTCTCATCTTTTTAAGTGGGAGAACTTGCACAATTGGTGGCTGACTAAATACTTTTTTCCCCCACTGTATGTCCATACTAAGTCCTTGCAAGGAGAGAGGGAGATGAAATGTTCAATTAAAATCTCAAATTATTTATTGGTTTATAGGTTTTCCCCCATGAGACTTGCTGACGCAAACACAAAGCAGATAATGGACTAGAGTTCAGATCTCTGATTGACTTAGCGAGCCAGTGCTGAATGAGAAATGTCCCAGCTGTTTGGCTTAAGGTTTGGGGCCAGAATTTAGCAAGAAGCATTTAAAAGTTAAGGATGCATCCCAAATGGCACCCTATTCCCAATATAGGGTAGGGCTCTGGTCAAAAGTAAAGCACTATGTAGGGAACAGGGTGCCATTTGGGACGTATTCTACATCTTCTATTACTGGTTCTGCGTATGGAAACATACGAGCCAACAGGCAGTCCATCATGTCATATGTCAGATGATAGTGACAGATTGGTTGGATGTTGGAGAGAATGTTTGATTTCTCCCGCCCTGCGTCTCCATGGCAATGTCCAATCAGGGTAGCCTGTAAATGAGGCCACAACCACAGGGGGTTGGTGGCACCTTAATTGGGGAGGACAGGCTCATAGTAATGGCTGGAGCGGAATAAGTGGAATGATATCAAATACATCAAACACATGGGTTCCATTCCATTTGCTCCGTTCCAGACATTATTATGAGCCGTCCTCCCTTCAGCAGCCTCCACTGGCCACAACCCACCGTCCTGTGACGTTATCAGACCTGTCAGTTTCACTCAAGGTGAACAGGCTCTGATTGGCTGATAGCTTTTTGCTTTAATCAATCAATTATGCAAGTGTTGGCCTTAATACACGAGTCCCTTCTTCGTTAATGGGCCAGGGGAGCAATTTTTTGGGGGCTGACGCATCAGGTCGAGAGTTACATTAACACAAAAAAGGGGTAATTTAGGAAGTCTTTACCTGCAGTAGTAGTTGATGCATGAGCTGCTTTAACCCTTTACTTAGAGAAGTCAGCGTTTATGTTCCTTTTCCAACCTGTGTTTAGAGACGTCCTCATGTAACCTAATGTTCTCTTGATCTAAACTGTGTTTAGAGATTTCCTGATAAAAAACCTAATGTTCTCTTGATCTAAACTGTGTTTAGAGATGTCCTCATGTAGCTAATGTTCTCTTTGATCTATTTTAACACTACTACAAAGCTTCAACATAAAAGACAGAGAGAGACAAGGACAGGCCTCTCTAGGCCTATAAAAGCCATGTCAGTTCAGAGAAGACTACTAGTGGAGCGATTAGCTACATAAATAACACTGTTAGTCAGGGAAGCCTAGTGGAGTTGACATGATGTTGGCATGCCATGAAGTGTACACATACTCATATAAACACACACATAAACACACACACACAAAATAAATGTGCATGCATGCAGGCAAACACACTCAAGCACACACTGATGTTAACGTGTGTGTGTGTGTGTCCAATGTACTGGCAATGAGTTTCAGTAGTCACATCAGTAGATGGACTCCCTTTGTGCGTTAGGGAATACACCTATGGCTAAAACATCTGAGGACACACAGACACTCTCACAGCACATTACACATCATCCAGTTTAGTCATGGAAGTAGAGGATGTGGGGAACCTTTTTTTTAAGGACTTTTATGTGCTTCTCTACAGTGGTGTTACCGTGGCTCCCGTGGCCTAATAGATGGATCAGAAGGTTGAGTCACAGCCGAAAACATGATCCAACATCCTGCCACTGGCTACCCAGACTATCTGATTTGATTTGAACATGATCCAACATCCTGCCACTGGCTACCCAGACTATCTGATTTGATTTGAACATTATCCAACATCCTGCCACTGGCTACCCAGACTATCTGATTTGATTTGAACATTATCCAACATCCTGCCACTGGCTACCCAGACTATCTGATTTGATTTGAACATGATCCAACATCCTGCCACTGGCTACCCAGACTATTTGATTTGATTTGAACATGATCCATCATCCTGCCACTGGCTACCCAGACTGTTGTATTTTATTTGAACATGATCCAACATCCACCACTGGCTACCCAGACTATTTGATTTGATTTGATTTGAACATGATCCAACATCCTGTCACTGGCTACCCAGACTGTTTGATTTGATTTGAACATGATCCAACATCCTGCCACTGGCTACCCAGACTGTTTTATTTATTTGAACATGATCCAACATCCACCACTGGCTACCCAGACTATTTGATTTGATTTGATTTGATTTGAACATGATCCAACATCCTGTCACTGGCTACCCAGACTATTTGATTTGATTTGATTTGATTTGAACATGATCCAACATCCACCACTGGCTACCCAGACTATTTGATTTGATTTGATTTGAACATGATCCAACATCCTGCCACTGGCTACCCAGACTATTTGATTTGATTTGAACATGATCCATCATCCTGCCACTGGCTACCCAGACTGTTTTATTTTATTTGAACATGATCCAACATCCACCACTGGCTACCCAGACTATTTGATTTGATTTGATTTGATTTGAACATGATCCAACATCCTGCCACTGGCTACCCAGACTGTTTGGTTTGATTTGAACATGATCCAACATCCTGCCACTGGCTACCCAGACTGTTTGATTTGATTTGAACATGATCCAACATTCTGCCACTGCTGGGGCACAAATATAGGGACCACTTATGGGGAGCAGGATGGCTGCTCTATTTGATTATTTGTGTTCGATTGAAAGTGTTTTGAAGCTGATTACAGAACTCTCAAGTGACTTAATGTGTTTTACATAGAGTACAGAAGGCCTGTGAATGGATCGGTGTATTTTTGAATTGTCAAAATAAAACCTAGAGAGATAAGCTCCTAGCATACGAATAGAAGATACGATCACGAGAATCTCCTCTCCTCTACTCTTCATATATCTCCTCTACGATAATCTACTCTCAGAGACTCTCCTCCAGTATCCGCTCCTCTCCCTATCCCTCTCCTCTCTCCTAGCACTGGACAGATACCTACCTCTCCTGGAACCCAGAGAACTACCCAGGTGTTCAGAACCTTCGTTTCCCCTCCAATCAGATCTGGGTTCCTGATATCCTCCTCTACAACAGGTAGGCCCTCGCTGCCACGGTCTCAACCAATAAGCATAGAGCTATGATGTATGAATGGCTTATGTTACTGTAATCTACTGTACTCTAGTATGGGAAAAATGGGTCTGGCAAGATTTGGACAGTAGCCTATGTATTTCAGGAGAAAGAGCTGATGTTGACCAAACAAACTGAACCAATGTTTGCAGTAGCCACCCTTAGCACCGTTAGAAGAAAGCGTATGTTTCTGGTTTTCAGGAATGCAGTATTTTCAACCTAACTTCCATTTCCCCTGAGAAACGGAAGTGGGGACTCCGCTCAGGCGTCTTTCTACGCCTGCTACGTTAGTAGTTTAATGTTTTCCTAGAAGAGTTCGATTTGATACACATTAGTCCAGTAAGTAACCAATTAGTAGACGGACAACTCCCCTGTGGTTTGATTTCACCCTCGGTCAGAGCGTGGACTAATGAAATGACTACGAATTGATTGCCTGCAGGAAGTAAACAAACCACTATACCCATGAGGCTTTGCATCTGTGGCCCAGTTCCATGATGGGGTAATATGTAGGAAGTAGCTGGATGATGAAATCAGTGTTTGTGGATTGTCCACTTAAAACGGATAGAATTACCAAGGGATTCCACTTCCACTGTAAGTTTTTAAGTTTACATCTGTTGTTTTCAGAACAGAATAGGAGACAAAAATGTAGCAGCTGAAACGGTGTATCTACTCATAAATTGACGTTTGTGTCCTTCTAGTGATTTTAGTTGTCCATTTTGGTTTTTTCTTACATATTCACCATTGTATCAAACCTTGCACTGGTGCAGATGTCTTCTAAACCTGGTCCATACTGTAGTCTCTACAAACATCTACCCTGGCTTGTAGCCTCTATCTATTCTGTCCCTGTATGCCCCTTTGTTCTGTCAGTATCAGGATCCAGTTCATTGAGATAAATGGAGAGGTAAGTTCTTTTCAGCTCAACGCTCACTGATTCAGGGAGCATTCTAGCAGAACCACTCCCACATTGCCTTACAGACAGTGGCGTCAGCCATTTTGTGTTTTAGAGGAACCATGTGGAGAGGGAAATTGTAACTCTGCCCCCACCTGCTCTCAATGGTTCCGAACCTAGTCAATAACTGATATAGTTAGTAGATAGACAAGTGGATTTTGATGGTATGGTAGATTTCATACAATACTGATATAGCATAATGGATAGACCCCAACATTTTTTGGGGTGATATGGTACATTTCAAACAACACCGTTTTTGTGCTGAAACATCGGCTGTCCGACGCCGGTACGGGAATCATACTGACGTCTAGGAACATGTCCCCTGGCGGATACCGACTGTGACACGGTAGGAATACACAACAACACCCACACAGTCTGGTTGAGACGTGTCTAGGGGACAGGATGTGTGTCTATGGGACAGGATGTGTGTCTAGGGGACAGGATGTGTGTGTGTGTCTTGTCCTCTTCCGTTGAGCTGTCAGAGTGGGTTGAAGGAGCCAGCCAGGGAACCTGGGACCTCTAAGGTAGCTGATACAGTGTCAAGGTAGCTGATACACATCTACTTTGTGCATGACACAAGTAATTTTTCCAACAATTGTTTACGGACAGATTATTTCACTTATAATTCACTGTATCACAATTCCAGTGGGTCAGACGTTTACATACACTAAGTAGACTGTGCCTTTAAACAGCTTGGAAAATTCCAGAAAATTATGTCATGGCTTTAGAAGCTTCTGATAGGCTAATTGACATCATTTGAGTCAATTGGAGGTGTACCTGTGGATGTACTTCAAGGCCTACCTTCAAACTCAGCACCTCTTTGCTTGACATCATGGGAAAATCAAAAGAAATCAGCCAAGACCTCAGAAAAATAATTGTAGACCTCCACATGTCTGGTTCATCCTTGGGAGCAATTTCCAAACGCCTGAAGGTACCACGTTCATCTGTACAAACAATAGTACGCAAGTATAAACACCATGGGACCACGCAGCCGTCAAACCGCTCAGGAAGGAGACAGGTTCTGTCTCCTAGAGATTAACGTACTTTGGTGCGAAAATTGCAAATCAATCCCAGAACAACAGCAAAGGACCTTGTGAAGATGCTGGAGGAAACAGGTACAAAAGTATCTATATCCACAGTAAAACAAGTCCTATTTCAACATAACCTGAAAGGCCGCTCAGCAAGGAAGAAGCCACTGCTCCAAAACCGCCATAAAAAAACCAGACTACGGTTTGCAACTACACATGGGGACAAAGATCGTACTTTTTGGAGAAATGTCCTCTGGTCTGATGAAACAAAAATAGAACTGTTTGGCCATAATGACCATCGTTATATTTGGAGGAAAAAGGTGGCTGCTTGCAAGCCGAAGAACACCATCCCAACCGTGAAGCACGGGGTGGCAGCATCATGCTGTGGGTGTGCTTTGCTGCAGGAGGGACTAGTGCACTTCACAAAATAGATGGCATTATGAGGAAGGAAAATTATGTGGATATATTGAAGCAACATCTCAAGACAACAGTCATGAAGTTAAAATGTGTGGGCAGAACCTAAAAAGCGTGTGCGAGCAAGCTACAAAGCTGACTCAGTTACACCAGCTCTGTCAGGAGGAATGGGCCAAAATTCACCCAACTTATTGTGGGAAACTTGTGGAAGGCTACCCGAAACGTTTGACCCAAGTTAAACAATTTAAAGGCAATGCTACCAAATACTAATTGAGTGTATGTAAACTTCTGACCCACTGGGAATGTGATGAAAGAAATAAAAGCTGAAATAAATAATTCTCTCTACTATTATTCTGACATTTCACATTCTTAAAATAAAGTGGTAATCCTAACTGACCTAAAACAGGGAATTTTTACTAGGATTAAATGTCAGGAATTGTGAAAAACTGAGTTTAAATGTATTTGGCTAAGGTGTATGTAAACTTCCGACTTCAACTGTATGTGCATATTATGTGTGAGTGAGCAAATGATGGAGTGAGTGAGTGTGTGTGTGTGTGTGTGTGTTGGAGTGACAGCGTGTGTGAGTGTGTAGGGCCCTGTGAGTGTGAATGGAGACAGCGAAAAAATTAAATACAAAGTTCAACTCAGATAGTTTGTGTAACCATTTAGTTAGCTATTTAGTTAGCTATTTAGTTAGCTATTTAGCAGTCTTATGGCTTGGGGATAGAAGCTGTTCCGGAGCCTGTTGTATCAGGTACCTCTTGCCGTGCGGAAGAAGAGAGAACAGTTTATGGCTTGGGTGGCTGGAGTATCTAACGATTTTCCGGGCATTCCTTTCACACCGCCTGGTATAGACATCCTGGGTGGCAAGGAGCTCGGTCCCAGTGATGTACTGGGCTGTCCGCACCACCCTCTGTAGCGCCGTGCTATTGCCATAACAAGCAGTGATGCAGCCAGTCAAGGTGCTCTCAATGGAACAGCTGTAGAACTTTGAGGGCCTATGCCAAACCTTTTCAAACTCCTGAGAGGGAAGAGGCGCTGTCACACCATTTTAAGTCCTTAGTGATTTGGACACCGAGGAACTTGAAGCTCTCGACCCAGATTCAGCAGGACAGCCTGTGAAAACTGTCCACTTGTGTTTGCATCCCTGAGAGCTGAACCTCAGTACCACAGGACCTCAGGAACAGGCTTCCAGATTAAGGCTAAACTTGCTTTGAGAAAGGAGATTGCTCTAGCCTTAGCCAGGGAAATAGACAGATAAAGGAGGGGAGAAGATGGGGAGCTTCAATCAATATGGGATGACCTGCAGCCCAAATTTCCAATTACATTTCATTACAATTACACTTTTTCACAATAAAAATTCAGGAACACGTTTTCAGATGCTTTGAAATGAGAAATGTAACCTTCTTATGTAGCCAGGGAAATTATTGAGAGTGTTATTTTCACAACTTTAGAAATGTTACAACCATGTTGTATTTTTATATTACTCCAGAGTAGTATGTATGTGACGGATGAAAAGTAATTCATTCCAATAGGTTAAGGTTAAGGTTAGGGTTAAGGTTAGGGTTAAGGTTAGGGTTAAGGTTAGGGTTAAGGTTAAGGTTAGGGTTAGGGTTAGGGTTAGGGTTATGACTCTGAAGGAGAAGAAACAACAGAATGTCTTCCTTTCCATTTCAACCAATAAAAGGCCAGTACACAACGGGGGAATCATGTACTAAAAACACCCACTGAGGTACCATTTGTCTCACATGCCTCACTCCGACTGAGGAGCACATTTTAACAGCATCATTACAGTTGACGTTAAAAGCCGTTTCGAACAAGGAGTGTAATTGCTGGCTGTAATTTAAGTGTCAGTCGATGAAAGAGGCATTATAACAAGGGAGAAGAAGATGTTGTAAATGCATTGATAACCCCCTCCATCACTCCCTCACTCACTCCCTCACTCACTCCCTCCTTGTAATGGAGTACGGACAACAAGATAACATGGTGTTGAAGTTGATTGATGACATGCGCTCTCTGTGCTACGTTGTTTAAGGTGATGGGGGTGTTCTTTATGAGGTGGCGTGTGTGTATGTGTGTGTGTGTGTGTGTGTGTGTGTTTGTGTTTAATAGGATGATACAGAACATTAAGCAGGTGATGGTCAGGATCAGCGATCACTAATGATGACAACATTATAGTCCTGGAACGACAAAGAATAGATGGAGGGAGCTGAAGCTTTATAGATGTATGGAAGGAAGGATGGAAAAGGAAGGAAGGAAGGAAGGAAGGAAGGAAGGAAGGAAGGAAGGAAGGAAGGAAGGAAGGAAGGAAGGAAGGAAGGAAGGAAGGAAGGAAGGAAGGAAGGAAGGAAGGAAGGAAGGAAGGAACAGTCAGATATTTAGGGAAAAGTCAGTTCCTGCAGATGAGCTAAGTGTCTTTCCCTGTAGTCTTTCTACCTAATCCTTTCCTCACATACGAGAGTGTGAGAAGGAAAGACAGAGTTTGAATATTTCAATATGAAATAAATAAAATGTCCCTATGGGATGGAGGTCAGGTATTGCCATTTTTGCACTCTGCCAGCCATTGTGACTTTCATGAATAATGTAGAGCTAGCTATAAGCCAGCTGTCTTCATATACAATACCATGGTGGATTTAGTGTACCTGTGATATGAACCTGTCGGACTCTGTGTCATAACACAAGACATCGATCTGAGAATATATTCCTTTCCCTCCCGATAGTTCTCTGAGACCTAGATTCTGAAAACCAGTCAATGTGTTTCTGTCTGTAGTGTTTTCACAGGATGAAACAGGACACACACACACACACAACATTGTCTACACAGTGTTTTAACAGGACATTTCTATAAGCAGTGTAGAGATTTGGAGAGAAGCATCCACCTGAATAAGAAAGCTGTGATATTGAAGGAATAAAGCGTTTGTATTCTGTAAATGTATTCCGTCTGTCTGTCTGAAACCCAATAAAATTATTTCCTTAAGGGATTTGTGGTATGACGTGTGACACACAAATACTCATGTGTAAAAGGATAACATGATTTATAATTTGAGCATACTTCCTTTTTGAGGTGTGTAACCTCCAGGTACGTCCCTGTGTTACGCCTTCCCCTTCCCCCAGGCACCTTGACCTTTGAGAAACAACTTCTGTTTGTTTGTGTAGCTCTGTATGATTCATATATCTTGTTTAATATGATTCATATATCTTGTTTAATATGATTCATATATCTTGTTTAATATGATTCATATATCTTGTTTAATATGATTCATATATCTTGTTTAATATGATTCATATATCTTGTTTAATAGAATTCATATATATTGTTTAATATGATTCATATATCTTGTTTAATAGAATTCATATATATTGTTTAATATAATTACTAAATCTTGTTTAATATGATTCATATATCTCGTTTAATATGATTCATATATCTTGTTTAATATGATTCATATATCTCGTTTAATATGATTCATATATCTTGTTTAATATGATTCATATATCTCGTTTAATATGATTCATATATCTCGTTTAATATGATTCATGTATCTCGTTTAATATGATTCATATATCTCGTTTAATATGATTCATATATCTCGTTTAATATGATTCATATATCTCGTTTAATATGATTCATATATCTCGTTTAATATGATTCATATATCTCGTTTAATATGATTCATATAACTCGTTTAATATGATTCATATAACTTGTTTAATATGATTCATATATCTCGTTTAATATGATTCATATATCTTGTTTAATATGATGTTGTGTAATTATTTATTCATAGTCATAAGCCTACATGCGCTAGTAGGATTACGTAATTAAAAAACAAAACATTAATCAATTCATTAAATTACTAAATGTTGATTAAAACAGAGAAACACTTATATGATACAAGCCTACAACAGCGTGGATGGATGGTTTGAAGAACAAGAAAACCAACCATTTTAAATGTATTTATAGCTTCCTGACCAGCATTAGTAATTTGTATTCAGCATGCCTCTACAACGCTGCTAATTTAGAAACCTTTCTTCTTGGACAATGGACCGGGTGATTATCAGTTTGAGTATCCCAAACAGCACCCTATTTCCTATTTAGTGCACTACTTTTGACCAGGGCCCATAGGTCAAAAGTAGCCATTTGGGATGCAGGCAATGTTCGGATGAATCCCTAACAACCATGCCTGCTGCTTCCTCTAGTCTGAACAAATGGAACAATTATCATATCTGATTATGACAGGGACATGCAGCAATAAATCAACATTAAACTATGTAAATCGTGATGTCTTCTTTTGAGTTTGAATACAGTCATTTTTTAGCCTGCATTTAGCGCAAGGGCATGGTGCGCGTCAGCCGATAGGTTGTCTGCAATCCACTTCCCGTTCTTGTGGCATCAGTCACGTAACCGCTCATAATTTCACCTCAATAAAAAACAGACTAATGGACGTCTGCATGAATCAGGAGAATTTTAATCTTATTTTTTTGGGAAGATGAGCACTTTCATTTATTATTCACTGTTTCTCAATATGAGAGCCAATCTTTCAATCCTACCCGCTAGGTACTTGTGGCAGGATTTGATCAGCATAAGCAATATTTGCATTTGAAGGTCAAAAGCGATCACTCCTTTTTTCTTTAAAATGTATTTGTGGAATAAGGATGGGGTAAGGAGGGATGCGGGGGTTAGTCTAGGATGTAAAACCTGTCATATATGGTGTTTGTTGTGATGTATCTCAGTTTGATGGTAGTGTTTCTGATGCCAGTCCCACAATGCGCTGAGCCAACTCTGATGAAACCCTTTCTGAAGGAGGACAGGATCAATAATATAAACACTGTCTATCTAGCTCAGCACTAAGCCCTCTCTCTAAGATATCTCTCTCCTTCTCTCTCTCCTCTCTCTCCTTCTCTCTCTCCTTCTCTCTCTATTTGGCCCCCTCTCTCTTTCTTTCTTTCTCTCTCCATGACAACAGACTTAGTTACCCTCCATCCAACATCTATCAGATCATTCATCTGTGTCTCTTCACTTCTCTCCTCCAGTGCAGACGAGAGGTTTGATGCTACCTTCCACACCAATGTCCTGGTCAACTCCTCTGGATCCTGCCAGTACATTCCACCAGGTGGGTTACCAGGTCACGTTTAGCCATGTTCAATTCCAGGGGTTACTGGGTCGACATTCATGCTTTGAGGAGGGTCGCTTTAACCGAATGCTTAGCCACTATGAATCAGATATGTTCATTAACTTGAATGTATACTCAGCAATATAAAATCGTCGGCAGAAATCAACAATGGCAAAACGTGAAAATGTCAAGACTGCCCTCTCCTCCTCTTCCTCCTCTTCCTCTTCCCCTTCCTCTTCCTCCTCCTCTCCTCCTTCCCTCCCCCAGGTCTCCTGAAGAGTACATGCTATATCGATGTCCGCTGGTTCCCCTTCGACGTCCAGAAGTGTGATCTGAAGTTTGGCTCGTGGACCTACAACGGCTGGCTGCTGGACCTCCAGATGCTGGATGTAGACATCTCCTCATACATCCCCAACGGGGAGTGGGACCTCGTGGGTAAGAGACATGGAGATCATGGGTCTCCCTGGAGGAAATGAGGTTAACGTTTTTTACAACAGAGTCGGTGGTAAACACTCCTCCTGGGGAGCTACTGGGCGTGCACGGTTTTGTTCCACACCACCACTAAGCAGACTGCATCGCTCTAGTCAAATCAATCTTTATTTATACAGTATGTTCCATACAAAGCCAGTGTTATCCATTGTGCATTACAGATCCTGTGCTTACAGTACATCTATAACAGAATGCAGCCCTGTTTTACGAGGTGTCTGCTTCCCATGCCTCTCTGATCCTGAGTGTTCTATCCCCTGGGCTAGACAGCCAATCATTGAGCCCGGTGTTACGACTCTTTCCTGCTTCTGTTTCAATTCCTGTTCCCCTGGGCTAGACAGCCAATCAATATCCAGTTCTGAATGTGACCGAGCTAGGTGGTGTTACAGGTCTCATCTCCTCCCCGAACTATGCTGTTCCCCTCTCATGTCATCAATCTATCGTTGGATGGATGGTGGCAATGTGCCTCTGGTCTCAGATAGATGCCTCAATAGTGTTGGAATGCTAGTGGTGTAAAGTACTTAAGTAGAAATACTTTAATGTACTACTTAAGTAGTTTTTTTGGGGTATCTTTACTTTACTATTTACATTTTTGACAACTTTTACTTTTACTTCACTACATTCCTAATGGAAATCATTTACTTTTCACTCTTTACATTTTCCCTGACAAAATTACTTACATGTTGAATGCTTAGCAGGACAGGAAAATTGTCCAAATCACACACTTATCAAGAGAACATCCCTGGTCATCCCTTCTGCCTCTGATCTGGCGGACTCACTAAACACGAATGCTTTGTTTGTAAATTGTCTCTAAGTGTTGGAGTGTGCCCCTGGCTTTCCGTAAATTTAAAATACAAGACAATGGTGCCATCAGGTTTGCTTAATATAAAGAATTTGAAATGATTTATACTTTTACCTTTACTTTTGATACTTAAGTATATTTTAGCAGTACATTTACTTTTGATACTTAAGTATATTTAGAAGCAGATATTTTTAGACTACATTATTTTACTGGGTGACTTTCACTTTTACTTGAGTCATTTTCTATTAAGGTATCTTTACTTTTACTAAAGTATGACAGTTGGGTACTTTTTCCACCACTGGGGAATGCAGGCTTGGCCTGTGACTGCCTGATGTCTTTTTAGGCAGACACACACACACACACACACACACACACACACACACACACACACACACACACACACACACACACACACACACACACACACACACACACACACACTCACACACACATATCCCCATCCCCTCCCCCACAAACCCAGTACCCAGCTGGCTGTAGGTAACCAGGGGGGTGTGGGGAGACAGCTGGCCCAGGAACGGCTCACTAGATTGGGGCACGGCAGCTAACAGGCTCCTCTCCAGACAGAGCCCTGGTGCCTCTGCCAGACAAGGTGCCATCCTGGGGCTCTGTTTAGTGATAGGACCCTTGGTTACTGTCCTAAACACACACATGTATGCACACACACGCACACACACACACACACACACACACACACACAGACAAACTGTTTTCAGATGTTAGGTTTTAATCAGTTAAAAGAATGACACTTACGTTGAAGTGATGAGTCTGAAATCCTCAAACCCACTAACCAATCAGTGCTCTGCTGGATGTCCTACAATGATTAAAGCCCATCAGAGTAATTGAACCATTTCATTTTCTCCTTGACACACACACACACACACACACATACACGCACACACCCACACACACATGCGCGCACACACACAAACACACATTGCCCATACATACATACATACATACATACATACATACATACATACATACATACATACATACATACATACATACAGTGGGGAAAAAAAGTATTTAGTCAGCCACCAATTGTGCAAGTTCTCCCACTTAATAAGATGAGAGAGGCCTGTAATTTTCATCATAGGTACACGTCAACTATGACAGACAAAATGAGAAAAACAAATCCAGAAAATCACATTGTAGGATTTTTTATCAATTTATTTGCAAATTATGGTGGAAAATAAGTATTTGGTCAATAACAAAAGTTTCTCAATACTTTGTTATATACCCTTTGTTGGCAATGACACGGGTCAAACGTTTTCTGTAAGTCCTCACAAGGTTTTCACACACTGTTGCTGGTATTTTGGCCCATTCCTCCATGCAGATCTCCTCTAGAGCAGTGATGTTTTGGGGCTGTCGCTGGGCAACACAGACTTTCAACTCCCTCCAAAGATTTTCTATGGGGTTGCGATCTGGAGACTGGCTAGACCACTCCAGGACATTGAAATGCTTCTTACGAAGCCACTCCTTCGTTGCCCGGGCGGTGTGTTTGGGATCATTGTCATGCTGAAAGACCCAGCCACGTTTCATCTTCAATGCCCTTGCTGATGGAAGGAGGTTTTCACTCAAAATCTCACGATACATGGCCCCATTCATTCTTTCCTTTACACGGATCAGTCGTCCTGGTCCCTTTGCAGAAAAACAGCCCCAAAGCATGATGTTTCCACCCCCATGCTTCACAGTAGGTATGGTGTTCTTTGGATGCAACTCAGCATTCTTTGTCCTCCAAACACGACGAGTTGAGTTTTTACCAAAAAGTTATATTTTGGTTTCATCTGACCATATGACATTCTCCCAATCCTCTTCTGGATCATCCAAATGCACTCTAGCAATCTTCAGACGGGCCTGGACATGTACTGGCTTAAGCAGGGGGACACGTCTGGCACTGCAGGATTTGAGTCCCTGGCGGCGTAGTGTGTTACTGATGGTAGGCTTTGTTACTTTGGTCCCAGCTCTCTGCAGGTCATTCACTAGGTCCCCCCATGTGGTTCTGGGATTTTTGCTCACCGTTCTTGTGATCATTTTGACCCCACAGGGTGAGATCTTGCATGGAGCCCCAGATCGAGGGAGATTATCAGTGGTCTTGTATGTCTTTCATTTCCTAATAATTGCTCCCACAGTTGATTTCTTCAAACCAAGCTGCTTACCTATTGCAGATTCAGTCTTCCCAGCCTGGTGCAGGTCTACAATTTTGTTTCTGGTGTCCTTTGACAGCTGTTTGGTCTTGGCCATAGTGGAGTTTGGAGTGTGACTGTTTGAGGTTGTGGACAGGTGTCTTTTATGCTGATAACAAGTTCAAACAGGTGCCATTAATACAGGTAACGAGTGGAGGACAGAGGAGCCTCTTAAAGAATAAGTTACAGGTCTGTGAGAGCCAGAAATCTTGCTTGTTTGTAGGTGACCAAATACTTATTTTCCACCATAATTTGCAAATAAATTCATAAAAAATCCTACAATGTGATTTTCTGGATTTTTTTCTCTCTCAATTTGTCTGTCATAGTTGACGTGTACCTATGATGAAAATTACAGGCCTCTCTCATCTTTTTAAGTGGGAGAACTTGCACAATTGGTGGCTGACTAAATACTTTTTTTCCCCACTGTACATACATACATACATACATACATACATACATACATACATACATACATACATACATACATACATACATACATACATACATACATACATACATACATACATATACACATACAGTGGGGGGAACAAGTATTTGATACACTGCCGATTTTGCAGGTTTTCCTACTTACAAAGCATGTAGACACACATACACACACACACCCCTCTAATTATCAGTGGCTACACTCTGTGGCGGTGGAAAGTATTGACCACAGATATAAAACAGATCAACACTGGGTCTGTCCCAAATGGCACCCTATTTTCTATGTAGTGCACTACTTTTGACCAGGGCCCATAGGGAGTACTATGTAGGGAGTAGGGGGCCATTTGTGGCAGAGCCACTGTTTGGTTCCTATTCCTTTAAAGTGAATTGTATTTCACTTTATCTTGATGGTTTGTCTGTCAGTATGTTTTAATCTCACCTTGACTTTGGTACTGAAATGGGAGCCATTGATTTGTCTCACAAAGTGGCAGTTAGTGACAGAGAAGAGAAGCGGCACCAGTGTAATCAGAGAACGTTGAGACCAGATGTGGTGGGTATTGATGACCAAGGGGATCAGACACTGTTCAAACAAGCTGGAGCTGAAGCGCAGCTGGGTCATGCAGCAAGACAATGATCCAAAACACACAATCAAGTCTACATGAAAATTGCTAAAAAGCAACAAATTGGAAGTTTTGGAATGGCTTAGTCAAAGTCCAGACCTAATCCCAATTGAGATGTTGTGGCAGGACTGCAGTTCTGCATGGAAGAGTGGGCCAGAATTCCTCCACAGCGACGTGAGAGACTGATCAACAACTACAGGAAGCATTTGGTTGGAGTCATTGCAGCTAAAGGTGGCACAACCAGTTATTGAGTGTAAGGGGGCAATTACTTTTTCACACAGGGGAATTGGGTG